CTGTATAAATGCCTTACAAAATTTTCAATTTTTATTTTCATTTCTCTTTTCGTATTTAAATAAACGTACATATAATAAGATATATGTATATATATATATATAAATGGACGTGTGTGCCCCTATATTTCATTTTCTGCCAAAACTACACATCGCACATGAATGGTGTTTGTATGTTGTAGTAGCCCAAGTCTCCATTCGTGCACTATGGTGGTTGCGTCTCGATAGCTATAAGGGTGCGGAAAATATGGGCTTAATGTGGTCTACAGTGGTTTTCTATTTCGAATGTTATGTTCGAATTTGTTCGAATTAAATTAGAACATAAAATTCGAATATTGGTTCGATAATAGAACGATTGTAAACGTTCCAGAAACGTTGAAAATAGTTCATTTGACTGGAAGTAAAAATTCTCTAATTAGTCTGGAAACAGGGGACCTAATTGTTGCATTCTGTGAAAACGGGTAAGATTGGCTATAATGTAATTATCTTAATTTTCACTATTGGTACATTTTGCCCAACGAAGCGGGTCCTTGCAGCTAGATTCTTGATTACTTAAAAAAAACAGTTATATATATATATATAGGCCTATATAAAACTATATTATTACATACAAATAAAAACCCAGCGAAGTGGGTCCTTGCAGCTAGTTAATTATAAAAACTATTGGATGTAGTTTATGACATATAAACTACATTTGATAACATTACCGAAGTCAAATATGTGCGTTAGAAGTTTAGAACGATTAAATTAATTTGATTAAAAAATCGCATAAAATAAGCTTTAATCGCGTGTCAGTAAAGTAAAATAAATCGTAACTTGTAGTAAAAAATAATAATTTTTGGTGTTTTTCATGAAAATGATAGGCAATATGAATGCCATCTTGTAACGAAATTTTTAACTAAAGATCTTCCCAAATTATTTATTTATCTTTTAATACATTTTAGTGTAAATTTTGTGTTTGCATTAAAAACTAAAATATTTTTATGCTTATTTTTACATCTTCTCTTTTCATTAAATAAAAAAATATGCTATGTATGAAATTACTATTTATAAAAAAAAGTAGAAGAAATGTTACTTTTAATTTGATTCATAAAAATATCAACATTTAGAATTGTGTATTTTTACAAATTTTGAATTATGTTAAATTACCTAAATTTTTTAATTAAAAAAAAGTAAAAACGGAATTGACATATTACGTTTACATTAACGCCATCTGGAGATGACAATGGTAACTATCTTTTACATACATAAATAATATATTTTATATATTATAAATAAAAATTTAACTTATTATTATATTTAAAAATAATAATTAGAATGNGAATTAAAATTTGTCATCTGACAGTATAGGAGAAGAAAGATTCCCTACAGCTGTTGCAATAATTAAAAGTTCATCAATAACAGAAGTCATTTTCCAGGGAAGTCTTGCTGAAAATATCTTAAACTGTTTAATTCGCTGAATAAATCTTTCAACGTGCACTCTGGCACATGCAATATCCTTTGTTCTCAGTGCTTCACATTTATTTAGTTGTTTATTTTTTTTCAAAAATGGTGGTTGAATTACTTCTATTCCTTTTTCTAAACAAAGTTTATCAATTAAAAAGCCTTTATCAACCATCACTGAGTCACTATAAGGTGTTAATAAATTTAAGATATCACTCTGTTCAAAGATTGCCTTATCAGAAGTTCTGCCTCCATATGCACTACTTAAAAATGTTGCAATTCCACCTGGTGAAACACCTATTAAAAATTTTATAGTTGTGTCACCTTTATAGTGTGAGTAGCAACGTATTCGACACTTTAAACACTTTGGTCTCTGCACTGTAATTTCTGAGCAGTCCAAAATTACTCTTACATTACGAAACTTGTCGAAACATTTAGGCATATTTTCTAAAATATTTGTTTTTGATGGCCAAACAATTGCACACTTAAGTACGGAAGCAAGAATTTTCACACTTGGGTAAAATATTCTACTTGCAGTTGGTACAGAACAATGAAAAAATATAGATATAACAGAAAAAGAAATATTTAATTTCATTTTGATTAGGACCATAAAAAGTTTATCTTCAAAAGAAAAATTAGTATTACTGATTTGTTTTGTTTTACATACATCACTAAAAAGTTTAACAATAGCATTAAATAGTTCAAAAGTTGGTATACCAGTAATGGAATTTAGTTGGGATTCTGTCTTAATGAAATTACGTATATTTACCAAAAATTCTGCAGTGGATATTTGTATGCCAACTGATCTGTGACATTTTAAATTTTTATCATAATTAGAATTGCATAACATTAAAAGTGTTTCAGCAGCTTCTCTATCATTAATTTCAGACTCAATTGCATGCTCCTACAACTTCGGTTGTTGTTCGGGATACAGTTAAGGTTTTAACAAAGTTCGAGTGAATACAAAATTGCAAAAAAAAAAAAAAATTGAAATAAAGTGATTAAATAAAAATTATTACAGATATCGTAAATAACAGTTCACAAATGCATATATAGAGATATTTTTTGAAGGGGGAAATGGTCTTTACAATTATAAAATCGATCGAAAAGACAGTGCTCGAATGCTCGTGTAAACGCGCGCCATCTATCGTAGGATAAATGTACTATGCCGGAGTGTATTAAAAAACTTCCCAAAGTTTTATGGCAATCGTACTATGCCACAAACCTTCGTGGAAGTATGTTAAACAACTTCCCAAAGTTTCACGGCAATCGGATAAACGGTATGGTAACGCATGGACACACACACACACACACACACACATTCATTTTTATATGTATACTAGCTCAGCGGTCCCCAACCTTTTTATCGCCGCGGACCGGTCAACGTTTGATAATTTTACCGCGGCCCACTGAGGAAGAACGTTGATTGTTTATATTTTAGATTTAAATTAAAATTATTAAATTAAATCATTGTATTTAAACATGCCTTCAAAATAGAATACAGTTACACCAAAGAATGAATATAATGTGATTTAACATATTAACTCACTAGAATGCTTAATCAATGAGAACCGTGAGCTTGTTTCTTTGCAACGAGACAATTCCATCTAGGGGTAGTAGGAGACAATGACACCCAAACTGTGTTTCTTATGTGCAGTTTATTCCGTTGTTCCATCGTCAATTAAAAATCGCACAAACCCGAGAGAAATACATCATAGTAAATAAAATGGAAATAATTTAATGTTCCTTGGGCGGCCCGGTACCATTTGATCCACGGACCGGTACCGGTCTGCGGCCCGGGGGTTGGGGACCACTGTACTAGCTTACCGTCGCGCATTGCTGCGATCTCAGAAGAAAGAAAATTTAAGCAAACTCGTTATGATAAAATTCGATTTACATTTTATCATTTTTATTGAAACTTATTATTATTATTCATTTTCATGGGAAAAACATTTCACAGTGTCGTTTCAATTCTATTTATTTAATGGAGTGTTTGTGGATACATGATATTTTTTGTTTTTCCCTCTGGTGTGTACACGAATAAATCAGAAGATTCTTCGATGCGTGAGCCAGCCACATACAGTTGTCCATGCGAGAAGCACGGGTTCTCCAAATTTAGCCCACACACTCGCTGCGATTGTCAGAAGCGCGATATTCCCCATTTTTATATATATTTTTAAATCCTTTATAATTTTTATTATTTAATTGCTCCTTCCTTTCTTCCTTGGCATGTTGTGAAATTTCTGATAGTTGGATAATAAACCGTTTTATTGTAATTATTTTGAGTTGATATTAAAATTTGGAAAAGGGGGATATCTAGATTGGTAAAATACACAAATTTCTTCCTACAACTTCGGTTGTTGTTCGGGGTACAGTTAAGGTTTTAACGAAGTTCGAGCGAAT